AAATTCTTATTGATGTAATTAAAATCAACAAATTCTTAAAGGTACACATACACTGTTAAAACAAACATTCCCTTAAGTAAATTTCATACTGTGCATCATTCCTAAGACACAAATCTTTGCCCCGAAAACATGTGCTGGAAAGCACTGACTGAAGTGTAGATTGTGTGGAGAATGGAGATAACCAGACATTTCCTTTCACCAGTCTTCATAAGTAACTCACTGCACCTTTTGCTGTAAATCTTTTTGGCTTTAGATAGTTAAAGCTGTATAGTTAAAGCAGCTTCATTTACCATGCTACATAAAAAAAAAAAAAATCATCAACCTTCTTTCAAAATATTCCTCTTCTCTACCTAGTCCTGATGCTTAACCACCTCCCGCCCGCCATGTAAGGAAATGATGGGCGTAAGGCGGTTCTCTCATTCTGGGATGACATCATCGGATGTCCTCCAACTCTAACCGCATGTGCATGGCTCTGGGAGCGCACAGCGATCGGTGGTGCGCTGTGTTCCTTGGAAAGAAAAAAATAAAAAACCCAGGGGTGATTAAATACCACCAAAAGAAAGCTCTGTCTCAAAAAAATTATAAAAATTTCATATGGGTATAGTGTTGCATGACCGCACAATTGTCATCAAAGTGCGACAGTGCTGAAAGTTGAAAATTGGCCTGGGGGGGGGGGGGGGGGGGGGTATAAGTGCCCTGTAGGCAAGTGGTTAATGACAGCAGCTTCTTGCTATTTGTCAAAATCCCAACTGCTGGGCTTGAGACACGCCTGCCAAAATAAAGAAGAGGGGTGGAATGGAGGATGTGCTGTGATTTTTTTTTTTTTTTTTTTAACTAATGATGTTCTCAAAGTACTTGCAGTATTATATTGCACATACAGTATTCTGGAGCATTTTCACAAATACCTTAAGCTGCATATCTTCATTTGCTAAGGTTTGCAATAAAGCAGCTCAATAATGTTTGTGGTGGGTGGCAGTGTGGGTGTCTTACCCTAAAATGGGGCATGGGAGCTTTTCATTGTGAGTTTGAAAAGGGCCTGCATCTTGCTAAGCATGGAAACCCAGATGGACAAAATCTTGAAATTCACATCATAATTACAAAGGTGTCTGAATGTAAACTACATAAAAGTAATAATGATAGTAAAGAATTACCAAATCGGTCTTGCGTGATTCAGAATGGTGAGGAAACGTGGCTTGATGTAGTCATAGTATCCCATATTTTTATGTTCCTCCTGGCACCACACCATTTCTGCATTGCCATATTTCTCAACCTCTTCTCTAACCAAGTCAAATGGGAATGGTGATATCTGCAAAGTAAGTTTTAGGGGAAATTTCTAAATGACTACAATATATTCATGATATAGCTACTTATATATCAACTGGGCTCATACAACAATTGTCAACCAATTAGGCTCAAACATACCATAAAAAAAAAAACAAGGTCAGAAATTACCATTTGAATATGACTGGTCGCTATAAAGACAATTCTTATGTGAGACACAGACATATGGAGTTAAATGGGGAAAAGAGGGAAATGGAAAGAGCAAAAACAGGATGGATATTATGCCAATACTTCTTTATTTGTACTATAAATATCCCATTGAAAATTCAAACAAAAACAGCTGTCTGGAATTTAAAATAAATATCCAGGAAACTCTCAAAAGTGAAAAAAGAAACAGTCTCCTCTGTCAGTGGAACAAAATTTTTTTACTCTACCACTTGTGCCCAAAGAGAACCCACACAAGAAACCTATTCTTTAATTGTTAATCCACATTAGTATTTTATATATTAGTATTACATTTAATAACTGTTAAACAGGTGGCGCAAACACCTAGTCCACTATCCATGGTTTATTCAAAATGCATAAAAGACAAAAACATACTCACAAACGTAGCATGTGTATAACGCTTAGTATGACAACAGAGATGGCCACAACAATGGGCAGGGTATCCAACTGTCAGTGCGGTCGGGTTACTGACGCGTTTAAGGGATGAATCCCTTTCCTTAAATCTCTGAGGAAAGGGATTCGTCACCAAAACGTGGCAGTAACCCGACCGCACTGACAGTCGCACACCCTGCCCATTGTCGTGGCCATCTCCATTGTCATACTAAGCGTTATACACATGCGCCACCTGTTTGCTCTTTTCCAGTTGTTTATTTCCCCATCTGAGGAGGGCTGCATCCCCCACATGTTATCCATACGCTACCATTTGCTCTTGTCCCCTGGCCTTCCTTTGGCAATTGATTCCTGGAGCGCTGGAGAGTACACACTGTTGTCCGCTTTGGTTATATTTAATAACGTACAGGTCACTTAACGCATCACACATCCTACACATGGCTTCTCTTGTATACAGGATGTGAAATAACTCACATCTTAATACTATACACAACATATCCAGTATAATAGTTACCAACTGTTATAGCAACCAAAGATGAAGTCTAGGTATGATCTTTCTTGCAAGTCCCACCAAGGGACTGCTGGGGAAGCTGTCCATCACTGCAATCTTCCGGGCCATGAGTTGAGTGGCTTACCTTCAGCACAGTGACCACAGGGGGTTGCATGCTAGACATTGCTGACGTTCACAGGTTGCCTTGTAATTTTTTCAATAAATGTAAAGGTGTTCTCTTAGTGAAAGAGTAACGATCATGATGTTGCTGCCCTGCCCTCTACCTTGTCCAATCAAAGAGAATCTTGTATTCATGAAAAAAAAAAAATACAAGGTGTTTTTTGTTAATGGTGGCAGTGCTGTGTGCACACCCCCTGCGCTCACTATGCAGAAGGGAAGCAGTTCAGCACAGTGATCACTGTAGTTGTGCCTTCACAGTGATCCATCAGATATGATATACTTACAACTATGCAATAAACATCATACCTAGACTTCAGCTTTAATACAAGGTACTTACATTGCATCACTTGTTTTAAATCACCTACATGTTTTCAATTAGAATATAGGGTCTTTTCAAATGCAAGCACACCCCTAGTATGTAACCAGGTTTCATTATTGCATATAATTCCTTCTTTGAATAACCTCAAGGATAATGAATTCCCTGAAGTAGGTTCTCTTCTTGATACAAGTTGCACTCCTAACTTGAATGAAACTTGTTAAACATTAATTAAACATTGTATAAATTAGGTAAGAACTGTTCTTTGAAGCATTTAATCATCTAAATGTTTAAGTCATCTTTGTTTGCCATATAAATATTCTCCCCTATTACCCTTTTCCTATAACCCCACTTCACTTCCTTTCCAACATCCACCAAGTTCAAACAGTCCTTCTACGACCTGATGAACTGTCTCCTAGTAGCAGCTCTAGTGTCCTGGGATAACAGCTACTTGCACGGAGGAGGGAGTTTTTTCAATAATGGGCTTCCTGCATGAACCCATCCCGTAGCATCATAAATTTGCAGTGTCAAATGCAAAAAGTTCACTAAGTCATACTGCTACTGGTTAAAAAACTTTAAATTATAATGTATAAATATTGTATGTATTTAATAAATGGGGGTACTTATTAGTTGTTGTCTTCAAATACAAACATGCAGATACTCTAAATAGGTTAATCTCTCCAAGAATTGGGTAACAATCCTACCAACCCAATATTCACAAAGTTCTTAGCTATTTTATTTCTTAGTTTTAGTATAGTTTTGAGAATGAGTGCAATTCTTTCCAGTTTCCTACAAAAAAAAAAAGCCAGTTACTCCATTTTTCTGGCAGAAGATGTGTGTTCCTACAACTGCGCCAAACTTAGTAACGGATGCAACATATTCACAAAGTTCTTAGTCATTTTATTTCTTAGTATTAGTATAGGCTTGAGAATGAACTTATAGACAACCCTTTTCTTACCAAAAATCTTGGATTCAAAGGATAAGTTCACCTTTGGGAACATGTTACATGTTCCACTCATTTATAGGGTGGAACATGTAACATGTTCCCACTGCTGCAGCAGCTCCCCAATCCAAGCCCACTCTGTAACAGCAGGCGGGGGATCTTCTTCCTGTGTCTGCTGTCACTATTTGAAAACAGCGATGTACAAGCAGAAAGATTACACTGACAGCCTGCAGAGTCCTGCATTGCACCTGCAATCTGGTGATTGCGGGTACAATTCTTTCCAGGCTCCTACAAAAAAAAAAAATAGTAAATGCACATTCCTAACTGCAAAAAAAGTGCATTATTTTTTTTTTTTTTTAAAGTGAACTTATTCTTTGAATAAGACTAGCCTGGAGTTGGTATTTTTGTGCACATCTTTCAATCTTGCCATATCTTATATTTTTCCATGTTATTGCGAGATCCACCGACCCACCGCAAAATTTAAATAAAGGGATGGGGATGCTAGTTCACTTTACTGAACAAGTATGGCCATATTGGGTCAAAGATGAAAGCCAGCATCCTTGCCCCCTTGTTTACAATCAAGCTGTGGCCTGGAGATCTGTCAGTTGTAGCTTGACATGTGTCAGGAGTGGAGTGCCTCAACTATACATTTTTTTTGCAAAGGTTTTTCACTACAATGTATGTGTGTTTATTCACGTTGAAATTTTTTTTTTTATTTATTTTTGTGGGAATGAGTATGCATTCATGCAATTAACTCCATTTGTCACACATGTGCAGGACAAGCACAACTAATACCAGCCTGCAGTCTTTCTGAATTTCTGAGTGAGGCGGTAATAAACCCACTTAAAGACAAAGTGTTCATCAAACTCTCATGTTGTTGCTAATCAGTAACATTTTCTGCACATCTTTCACTGATGCGACAGAAGGGATATTTAACTTTGTGCCTCAATTATCCTGATCATTTGCTTTATAACAAAACTGGTTGTCAAAAATATTCTCTGCCTAATAGATTAATACTGAGGAACATGTTACCTGCTCCAGCCGTGTGATTGCTATTTGGCTTTCCAGCTGTTTTTGATGCCTTTCCTTGACAAGCTCATAATAAACCTTCCCAGTGCAGAAAATGACCCGTCTCACATCCTGAGGATTGTGACAAGCTGCTCCACTCTCAGGAATCACACGCTGGAAGACTGTACCTTATGTCACAAAGAAATCCTAATGGTTAATGGTTTAGCAAAAGCACTGTGGCTGTTTTGATCTTTATGATGCATCCTGGTTTGCATAAATTTGCTCAAATAAATTCATTTTTTATAAGGATAAAAAATGTACTTTTGTAAATCTAGACTCCCAAGCAAACTGAACTACTATTATTCAGAAAGAAAGCTAGCTTTCATGCCAAAGAACAAGAAGTAAATAATTGACCTTAAACCACAAAAAAAGTGCATGTAAATCCAAAATCTATTTTTTAGTATGTTTGGCATTGTGTCTCGCTCTATACAGTTTTCTTGATCACATCTTTGTTTTTTTTTTTTTGTTTATCCACTGCAAAGTTTCTTACCAGAGATAATGCCATATACTATAAGTATGATGGTACCCTTTAGTTGATAGAGGGCCTGATAGACTTGATAGACAGCCCAACAACCAACCAAACGAGTGCATACAACAGGTTGACAACGCCGTTGCTTATTTAGAGGCAGTGGTTTACAATTGTCAGTCTGCAACAAAAAGCGCTATTACTGGCAGAATCTCCAAGTTATGTACTGTAACCTTCGCAAATTATGTTTGCAGCACTAGGGTCCTCAGTTCACATCTGGACCAGGACTCTACCTGCATGGAGTTTGCATGTTTTCCCTGTGCTTGTGTGGTTTCCTCCACACTGCAAAGACATACTGTAAGGTTAATTGGCTCAACTGAATGCATCCAAGGTGACTCCCCTAATTTCTTTTCCTGCTATAACAGAAAAGGTGAAATCTCCTGGACAGGGTCTCATACAGCAATACAAACTAAATTTAACAAAAGTATTTACTATCCCCAGCCCCCCCCCCCCCCCTCCAAAAAAAAAGTTTGAATAGAGTTGGACTTTCACCATCTTGATGCCGCACCATTGTAAAAACATAACAGGTTGGTGAACAGGGCATGAGGCCTAGGAGGAAGGAGGGGACAGGTTCAGCTTTTGCAGGAAATGTTGAGATCCACTTGTAGCTTCAGCCTCATCTATATTTTAATCTACTGAGTACTTTAATTTTTCATTGCAGTTTTACTGAAGGTGATCTCTTTAAGCATTTTTAATATGCTTAGTTTGAATTGCCCAGCTTTGCAGCCTGTGCTTATCTGAAATTGCAACAACCAGACCACAATACCATAGAACCTACTTATCGAATTACTAGAGAAGTAAAATATCCCATTGTAACCGTGACAGACTCAACCCGGGGACAGGGGCTTTTGGAGAGGTCAAAGGGCTAGCCTTATACCCACTGATTACAGCCCATGGAGAGAGCAGATCATTCTCTAATAATGGACAACAATATGATGAACGCTGAGAGAGATGCTTGTATTAATTCTCTGTGAAATGTGATGGACCACCTGTCAACCCGATTGGGCGATTCTGTCAGAGAACTGCTTCCTTGCCGTTGGGACACAAGACCAAGGTATTTTTAGCTGGGCATCACACTCAAGACTTGGCGACACTAGCTTAGATACAAACTGAAACAACTTTATTGAACAAAAATAATTGTTTTTATACACTTCAGAAATAGGGGTAATCCCCACATGAACAATAAAACAAATATTACACATTGGGAAAAACATCCCATATTGATTAGATAACAAGGTCAAGTTGACATAAGACTAATTACATCATGTAGGGATCTCCAGGCACTAGCTGACAGACAGAAACAATAGGTGACTCAATTAACTCAATTTACAATGGGACAAGGGGAGTAATCACATCCCACCTTAATAAACAGAATACAGCATCCAATTGCTTTTGAGCTGGTTAATCAGGGAGCCCAACCAGACAGTTCAGAGCCTACATAGGAATACACAAAGCACATTATACATGCGGTTTTTGAGGTCTGGCCCCCACCTGTGCAATCATTCCATCGTGAGACAAAACTCACACAATATTCCAACAGTCTGAGAAAGTGGAATTAATGTATCTTCATGGATTACTTGAGGGAGATTATTGGTAAATATTTCTATCCCAAATAGAGGAGCTTCTCCAACCCAGTCCACATGAGGGCCACATTTGCTCTGACCATTAACCTGTACAAGATTAATATTACACCTTTCCATCTACTCCAAAAGAGAAGATTTATTGTCTAATGCAGAGAATTAATCAAAGCCTTGCTCTCAGCATTCATCACGTTATTGTCCATCATTAGAAAATTATCTGCTTTCTCCATGGGCCATAATCAGTGGGTAGAAGGCTAGCCCCTAGTCCCTTCCAGCAGCCCCTGTCTTGGTTGGGTCTGTCACAGTAACAAATCAGATTTTTGCCTTTAAGTAAAGGGCAATGTGAGTTTAGAGAAATCAGAAAACAAAAAAAAAAATCTGACTGATTGCTATGGGACATTGCATTGTGTATTGCTTCTTACCTACCGTACTTTTCGCTCCATAAGACGCACTTTTTTTCCCCCAAAAAAAGGGGGGAAAATGTCAGAATGTAAAGCAGCCGGTCCGATATTTCCACCGCCACCATGTCAGAATATCGGGCCAGCCGCTCAGCTCTTCTACCTGTTCCTCGCTCCAGCGCTGCAGTCTTCCCGCGGTGGCTTATGTGACAGCCGGGTGCCCACTGCGCATGCGCGAGAAGCACTGCGCTTTGTGAATGGTCCAGTGTCTTCTGGACACATGACAGGTCCCAGAAGGCTCCGGGCCATTCACAAAGCGCAGCGCTTCTTGAGCATGCGCAATGGGACCCGGCTGTCACAGAAGCCGCCGAGGGAAGAAGGAAGGACGCTCCGCGGAAGTGGGAGCGGGTACCTGTCAAATTCAGGTACCCGTTCCCCCTCCCTCCCCAAAGGTCCACAGTCTCTGGTAATCTCCTTTACTGTCTGCATTCTCTGGTCATCCCCTGCACTGTCTGCAGTCTCTGGTCATCTCCTATACTGTGTCCGCAGTCTCTGGTCATCTCCTGTACTGTGTCCGCAGTCTCTGGTCATCTCCTGTACTGTGTCCGCAGTCTCTGGTCATCTCCTGTACTGTGTCCGCAGTCTCTGGTCATCTCCTGTACTGTGTCCGCAGTCTCTGGTCATCTCCTGTACTGTGTCTGCAGTCTCTGGTCATCTCCTGCACTATGTCTGCAGTCCATTGGTTCAGAATATTTTTTTTCTTGTTTTTCTGCTCTAAAACCTAGGCACATCTTATGGTCAGGTGCATCTTATGGAGCGAAAAATACAGTAATTTAAGTCAAAAGATGTAGATGGATTTAGTTCTTAAATACACATACACAAAATTGTTTTTTTTTTCTTTTCAACGATTCACATATGGCATGCATTTTATTGCAGTAAATGGGTGACTAGCACACTAAACACCTCTTTACCAACCTGTTTTCATTTCTTCAAAGCTAGATTTGGCTTCTGGATGCCTCAACAATGATTTGGGGGTAAAAATAATGAGCTGAAATATGATAAGACACATGCATTAAATTGTAAAAATAATCAAGCAGACTCTTTTCTTTAATCATTGTATAAAGTTTACCGGTTTGCGGAAGGGCAATAAAATTTGCCGCCTGAGGACATGAAAGTAATTAGCAGGTGTTGAACAGTTTACTACGATCCAGTTGCAGTCATACAGTTGAGTAACTTCATAATCTTGGTTATATTCCTAAAGATAAAAGATTTGTAAGTTAAATGTGTCAAATGATCATAGATCACCACAAAATCCTGTTAGTACTGAGGGGTCTATTTATAAAAAAAAAACAATGTGCTTTATGAATGTCTCAACACCGTACAAGCACAACCAATAGTATCTGTAATGTTTGTAATATGGGTGGACTAGTCCCCTTGTTGACTTTTGTCTGGTGAATGTAACATTCCTTAACATTCAGTCTTAAGGTGATTACAGCCATATTAGTGCATTTGCAACAGAAACACTGAGTTATGTCCATGATATTTTTTTTATTTGCACTAACATCCAATTTTTCAGGACAAATTTTCAGGGTGTAGCCTCTTCTTCAAGGTCCTAGCAGTAGTAATGCACAAATTTTAGCAGTGTTAATCACAGTCTTAAGTGAAAAAAAAAAGCTGTAACAACATTCGACCATGAAAGTTAATATTCACCAACAAAGAAATTAGCCTAACACTATAGGTTAAGAACATTCAACCAGCAAGAGAAATGAGGGAGACATCAGCATTGTGTAAGTCTATAGAGAATTTTGTGCGAACATCTGGACGAATGGGTGCTCAGCCACACAAACCTCCAGCTGCAGTGTGGAGCAAAACATTTAGCAGTGGTATTATTATCACTGCTAAATGCATCAGTCAGCTCCTCCTGGTTGTTAGGGAGATGGCACCTGCCAGTATCCTAACAACTAGTGACTCATCCTTGCCCAACACCTTCAGCTGTAAGCCAGGGATTCCCAACTGACAGGTGAATAAACAAAAACAGTGAAAATGGTGTTAAAAAAAAAACTGTGTGGGGTCCCCCTAAAATTCATACTAGGCCCTTTGGTCTGGTATGAATGATAAGGAAGACCCCCCAAAAAATAAAAGCGGCTTGGGGTCCCCCAATATTCCATACCGGACTCTGAGTCTTCAAAGGATTTTGAAAGGGGACCTCACGCAAAATAAAAAAAAAGTATGAGGTCCCCGCTCTAAATCCATACCAGACCCTTATCCGAGCATGCAGCCTGGGCAAGTGTGCACTACCTCCCCCCATCTTGAATTATACCAGGCCACATACCCCCAACATGGGGAATGTGAGAGAGGGGGTTACCTCACCAGGGGGGGAACTCCCTGGCAAAGCAGCCTGTCTCCATGTTGAGAACAAGAGTATCTTCTGGATTCTCTGGGTAACAGCTGAATGTACCAGGTGGGGATTAATCACCGTTTTTTAGGATGCCGGCACGTGCTGGGTCCCTAACAACCAGGAGGAAATGGTCACATTTATCAGTGGTAGTAACACCACTGCTGAATGTTTCACATCACGCTGCAGCGAATGTTTTTAGCCTAGATTGTTAAGCCATCTTCTCTTTTGCTGAATGTTACCTCGCATTGTCAAAAGTTCTTATATATATTTTTCTCTTAGGACGAATGTTACATTTCACCTGGCAAAAGGCAACAAGGAAACTATTACACATATTACAAACATTACAGGTATTATTGTTATTCTTTCACAGATGTTGACACATACACAAAGCAATTTTTTTTATAACTAGACCACTGAATGTCAGGGGAGAGTCTAATAAAAAAAAAAAAAAATGTGAAATCACCTAAAAGATATCATAGGCAATACTTCCACATCTCATTTTCTCCAGTTTGCACACACACAGCTCTTCATTTTACTAAAGAAACATACTATACATGGCAAGGCTTGAGCTTAATACAACCATTAAACTGTTTACACATCACTTCCTAAAAATAAATTCATTGGACATGGAAAAATGTGCTGGCAACTTTAAAGACACAACAGGGCTCAATTTACCAGACATATCTATTCCTCTATGCAATAAGTTTGCATTGTATAATAGCATGTATTCCTGTCTCCATATAACTCATCTGGTCAAAAATCAAAACCTTTATTTAAATGAAGAAGAGGTAGAAGAGCAAGGAAATAACAGACAGACTGTTTCCAAGTCTACATAGAATAAAGCTTCTTCATTTTTGAACATTTACAGTCAGAGTATGAGGTCAAGATAAAGCAAGACATAGTGCTAGACAAATCAACTTACAGGATAAGCATCGCAGTCATCATTGCTCATCTGCAGGAACCTTTCAGGTCTGGCTGAAGAATGCTCAGGTCCCTGGTAATAATATTAAGCAGAGGAGTTTAGAAAAGCTTGTCTCTGAATTACATTACTGATGGTAGAGGACAGAAGTAGCATTAAAGGCTTTTAAGAAACAATTGTTTCTGGTGTAGTTGGAAATGCACCCCCCAAAAATATGAACAAAAGTTAAAGAGGGTGGTCAAGTCTATTAAAAAAGAAAACATTTTTTTCCCCAAGATTCCTCATTAAAACAGAGTTTTTTTCAAACTGATACATTGAACAAAGGGGAAAGCAGACTGGCAATTCTGCCTTGGAGCACTGGGAATCTTGGTTCAAGTCTGGACAAGGGCTGCATGGAATTGTACATGCTCCCTGTGTTTCCGTGAGTTTCCTCTGGGTACTCTGGTTTCCTTACACACTCCAAAACATGCTAGTAGGTTAATTGTCTCCTATCTAAAATGGGTCCTAGTATGATATTGCACTGAGCGCACCCAAGATGGCTGCCTAACCACATGCCCCATCAAAAGATAAAGTGATTTAAGTCCCAAGGGGGAAAAGTGTTGTATAAATAACAACAATCAAAGCTCTTTATTTCACCTGGAGTGGCACCTCTGGCAGTGCTAGGGTTAGGGTACGGCAGCTGCCCTGAGTGCCATATTTTTATGGGGGAGGGAGGTGCATTATTAGGGGTTCTGGGGTGTCTTTGAAGTGCTGGACAAGCACCCTCAATGCACTTGCAGACCTCTGTCAGCATGGACACAAACCCAAGCATTGTACAGCAGCTCAATTTTAGCTGCTGTGAACAGAGCCAGCAGTCACAGAGGAGATCTTTCACTATTCATTTCCTCTGCCTGGCTCTGACAGATGACATTATCTAATGCAGATCCCAGCAGAGGTATCAAGTTGTGAAAGACCTCCTCTATGACTGCCAGCTCTGCTTACAGCAGTGAAGTTACAGCAGTGTGCGGGGAGCTGCTGCATTTTCATGTGAGACTGACAAACTACCAAGATACAGAGACTGTACCCTTTAACTCCATACAGACAAGTAAGCTGTAAAGATATTGAATAGAGCAGTGCTATCATGTCACAAGTCTCAGCAGCACAGGTTAGCTGCTGTGGGTTGATGCAGAGTCAGCAAATGTTTTCTATGTGAGCCTGAAGTGCAGACTAGTGTTTCCTATGTGACCCCTGCTTCTGGCCATGGGAGAGGTGTCACTGCACCCACTACCAACCATCTGCATGTTCCCTACAGAGTCTGTTTAGTTCACTTTACAATTAAATCAAAGCAGATCTGAACCATACCCAGATGTGTTTTCAGCATTTACTTTGGTTTTTTATTATTTTGCATTGTAGCAGAAATTATTGGACAAACATGGAAATTTTGGCATCAGAACTGAAGGAGAAAGTGTGTAGAGCTTGGTGAAACAGGTCACAAGACTCTTGCTCCACTAGCATGCAGGCATCATCCTGAGCCCTGCACCCTGTGAAAAACACACTCCTGACCGCTGCTCTATGTAGCTGAACTATATATGACAACTTCCTGACCATTGAATTTTATGCTATATTTTACATGACATATTTCTGACCATTGTCTTAACATTTGCTGGGTGGGGTCACCTACTATTTTATGAAGTTCTTCTTTAGGATAGTTTAAAAAGCATATGTAATGGAAGAGTTTCATTTTTTTTTTTCTTCTTGTGCTATAGGTTTTAGACTTTCGCTTGTAATTCATAGTGATTGAAGCAGGGGGGTGGGGGCTGTGAGAACCTTCACCTTTTATCTGAGAAAAAAAAAGTCCTGATAATAAAAACATATCTTATTAATTAATATATGGAATGAATGGGCAGAGAGATGCAGACAAAACAAAAGAGTAAAGAATGGGTTGATTTTAGTTCTAATTTATAGTTAGTAACTAGAAGTTCTAAAAATAAGTAGATAAATGGATCGACACAATTCAGCTACGACAGCAATGAAATAAGTAGTTTTCTTTTTTAATTTTTTGCAGTAGTGGAGCATGGGTTGTCCACTGTGATTTTTTTTTATATTCAATGGTTTTTATTAATTTTAAAACAGTAGAAAACAGAGGCAACAAAACAAGCCCACACAGGGGCTATCAATTGCACCGATAAAAAAAGCAAAATATAGAAAACAGTGCTCTAAACGCCAACAAGGCAAAAGGTACGCCCACGCAGGGGCTATCAACAGCACATAAGTTACAATAACATTAATGTAAATCTGACTATAACAACTAAAGGCAGCTGTCCACTGTCACACCAGAAACAAACAGAGAAAGTGAGAAAGGAAAAAAAACGCCCAAAAAAAAAAAAAAAACAAAACAACAGAGCAGGGGTCCAAAAGTGCCAAAACCGAACGCCATTACATCCCCAGACTAGCCGAGGGGAGCGGTCCACTGTGATTTTTAATGTACATAGCTAAATTAACACTGAGGAAAAAGCCAGGCAAGTCAAAAGCAGATTTAAAAGGAGTAGAAGGGGAGAATGAGGAATTGGAGATGTCTGCCTGCTTTGGCTATCGTGTTTTTTCCCACAGAAATAAAGTGGTGGCATTTGCTGAATGAGAAGAAAATTCCCAGATGTGTACCTGCAGAGGGGAAGGGAGCCATCTTCCTGTGAAACAAAAACACAGTCTAGACATAAGAATTACACTCACCAGCCACTTTTATTAGGTACACCTTGCTAGTTCCAAGAAAATATCCATTATACCACACCATTACACCACCACCACCTGCCTGAACCACTGACACAAGGCAGGATGGATTGCTTTCATGTTGTTTACGTCGCAGCAACCAGTCTGATTATTCTCCTCTGACATCAACAAGGCATTTTCAGCGACACAACTGCTGATTCAAGGTTCGACGTGTTGCGCGTTCAGAGATGGTATTCTGCATACCTTGGTTGTAATGAGTTGTTATTTGATTTATTTTTGCCTTTCTAGCATCTCGAACCAGTCTGCCCATTCTCCTCTGACAAGGCATTTCCGTCCACTCAATTGCAGCTCACTGGGTATTTTCTCTTTTTTGGACCATTCTCTGTATATCCTAGAGATAGTTTTGTGTGAGTAGTTTTTGAACTACTCAGACCAGCCTGTCTGGCACCAACAACCATGCCACATTCAAAGTCACTTAAATCTCCTTTCTTACCCATTCTGATGCTCAGTTTGAACTTCAGCAAGTCGTCTTCACCACGTCTACATGCCTAAATGCATTGAGTTGCTAACATTGGCTGATTAGCAATTTGTGTTACCAAGCAATTGAACAGGTGTACCTAATAAAGTGGCCAGTGAGTGCATGTGAACCATGAAAACACACCATGTGTCTCATTTGTAGAGCAAGATGCTATTACACCAGAGCCAGTTCTTTAGCCACTCGCTTGAGAAGCCTTTCTGACTGCACTAGTCCTAGCATTTGTCTACCACAATAAGTTTAAAAGGCAGATTTTAGCACAGGGCTATCTTGGCAACAATACAGTTAAAGTTGCTTCATGCAACCAGCTCATTGCAGATAAAAAGAAAGCTGGCTGTGTGGGAACAGGGGAAACCATAAATAATGAAGTAAGTGATGAGCTGGTATTAACATTTACATGAAGAACATGAATGATGATATGTGGTATATTTGTAACATGTATGAAAATAAAATCATGTATTTAGTATAATAATGCATTAAGTACATTGTTCACTGTTGATCATATGAACATAAATGTAGTATGTGATCACCAGAATTAAGTAAGGTAACAACCTTATAGCAAGACAAAAAAATTCCAAGCCTCGATAAACAGTAAGTTTAAACTGATTAAGTATTCATGAGTTTACACTCCTGGGGAGCAGGAAACATTAGTTTACCTTGCTTCTATAAATCAGTCAGTTAGTATGATTAACAGATGTGTTAGCAGCACTCACCATTCCTTCCATGCCATGTGGTAGAAGCAAAACAATTCCATTGTGCCGTACCCACTTGGCTTGTCCTGAGCTGATAAACTGGTCAATGATGCATTGTGCTGTATTATGAAAATCACCAAACTGAGCTTCCCACAACACCAAGGCATTAGGACTTGCCATGGCAAAACCAAGCTCGAAACCTGAAAAAAATAGAAACCAAGTAATGACACATTCATTCTCTGGAATAACTCTTCATGGGTGTAAAACAGTGGCCTGTGGAAACAACTAGGAAGCCTACATGAAGCTAGAAAACCTAAGTACTGTATTATTTTCAATGCTATCAATAAGACAGTAAATGGTCAGATCACATACAGTTTAGAAAAACATCCAAATAAAAAAAAATACTTCATTGCTGTAGCCCAACAGAGTTACAAAAAACAGTGTTTGAGTCAACTTGTCAGCTAAAACCAGAGTCACCTGGCCAGTTATATAGGATACATCATAAAGCAAGTTACCAATGTGATAAACCTAATGTGGAAGCTGCCCCTTTGACTTCTAGGTTACACCAACATTCTGGGTTCAAAGCTGAACATATTTAGCTTTAAAGAGAGTGAGGATGGAACTAATATTCAGCCCTTAAGGCAGAGAAAAGTAGCTTCTGAGATTTTCACACAAAGTATTTGGCTCCATGATGATTGGGAGTTCTGGTAGATCACAAGCAAAATTATCTCTTGTATTAAATGAGGTACAGACTCCAGAGAAATATAATTTTACTCCTGTACAAATCATTAGTAATACCTCATCTGGAATATGCAGTTAAATTTTGGGCACCAATTCACAAAAGAACATTAGGGAACTGAAGAAAGTACAGAGAAGGGCAACCAAACTGATAAGAGGCATGGAGGAGATCAGCTATGAGGGAAGATTAGAGGAACTGAATTTATTCTCTCTTCAGAAGAGGAGATTAAGGAGGGATATGATCAACATGTATAAATACATCAATGGTTCATATAGTGAACTCGGTGTAGAGTTATTCACCCTGAGGTCATCACAGAGGACAAGAGGGCACTCTTTACGTCTGGAGGAAAAGAAATGTAATCTCCAAACACGGAAAGGTTTCTTCACAGTGAGAGCTGTGAAAATGTGGAATAGACTCCCTCAAGAGTTGGTTCTGGCCAGCTCAGTGGATTGCTTTAAAAAAGGCCTGGATTCTTTCTTAGATACACAGAATATAACTGGATACTAACATTTATAGGTAAAGTTGATCCAGGGAATATCGGATTGCCTCTGGGGGATCAGGAAGGAATTTTTTTTCCTGCAGGAGCAAATTGGATCATGCTTTGGATTTTTTTTTTGCCTTCCTCTGGATCAACTGTAGATATGATTACTATGTACTATGTAATTAATCTCCCTTTTATACTGGGAAACATATGTAAAGTATTTCTTTTCTTCTCCCAGAAATGGTGGCAACTCTTTAGGTCATTGACCCATTTAATTGATGACACAAACACTGTAACGGAGATCAGCCCAAGGGAGCTTTGATGCTAGACCTGTATCCATTATTGGTAAGGTTTACCTCTGGCCTCCTCACTAATAACCAGAATGTACCTGGCATGTAGCCTTTTTGGCAGCTCTTCGAAAGACTCTAAACACAAAGATGTTCATATAATGCTGTGATGTTAATGGTCAGAATCATTGACATTGCTATGTGGGAACATGCCTGCTGAAGACATTTTGGTATGGAATGGAGGCTGGGATTTATTAACATGATGCCGGTTTTTGGACCTGCACTAGAACCTAATGAGCTGGTGAAAAGTGACCACACTGGGCATAACAAAGATGGATGTGCTATGATGACAGAATAGATGAGATATACAGCTTAAAATGTATGCTACAAGCTTGTAAGCAGCATGAAAACTAAATCTACATTATTAGGAACATAAGCACATAGGTGATATCTGGTCCTATTTCAATACTTAATCACTATTCTCAACGAAAAGTGAAGTTCCACTCTTCCTCCTCCTTTCCACCTCCCCACCCCCTGTCACATTTGGGTTGTATTTTTTTTGGGGGGGGGACCTAGTTTCGACAAGTACTCACTTCCACTCAGATCACCTGAGCAAATCGGGCTGAATTTCTATTCCCCCCCACACCCACCTGCAACCTTCTGAGACACATCCCAGACCATTCACACAGTGCAGCACAGCTCGCGTATGCGCAGTGGGCAGCTGGCTATAAAACTGCAAGGAGTCACAGACGGCTGCCCAGAGTTAACTTGCTGGTGCCGGGGACCAAAGACCAGTGAAGAAACTAGTTCGGGTGAGGACAGCGCTGGATCCTTGGACAGGTGAGTGTCTGTTTATTAAAAGTCAGAAGCTACAGTTTTTGTTTAGCTGCTTACTTTTAATTTTCGCACATCTGACTGAAGCTCCTCTTTAAATTACAGTTGGTCTGGTTGAAAAAAGGCACAAGTCCATCTAGTTTAACGAACAGAAAAAAAAAACACGAGACAAATAGAAAACCTCCACATACACAATCATTTGCCCACAACTGATCCAGAGAAAGGCAAAAACCCGCCCCCCCCCCCCCCAATAAAGCATAAGTGAGTTTGTATTCTGTCCATACTAGGAAAAATCAGAGTATTGTGCACAGCAGACCTATAACTTTCTACTTGTCAAAAGATGCAAGGAACTGAGCAAGCTCGTTCCTGTGACTACATACTTATTATGAATTGTGGTTGTGGGAAGGCTGGGGAAAGTGCCACATATTTCTGGGAATCCAGCAGCATATCAGAGTACAAGGAAGGTAAGAGAACCTGTTACTTTGCCAAGTATGGAAAATTACTTTATGTGCACAACCTAGAAAAAGCATATAAAAGCCACTTTTCACTAGTCTCATTTCAGCTCTGTAAATTCTGATTGCTATAGTTTACTGCACTTAGGGGTTAAAACTTTATGCAGCCTTGTCTCAAACCTAGGCATATGATGAAAAATGCTTAAATAGGTGTTATTTTCAGTAAAGATCTCATGCCAAAGGACTGGTAGATCCAGCAATATGGACAAGTTTACATTAAGTGTAAAAAGACTCAGCAGTGACATTACATTTTCATACAAGTAAATTGAATAATGTGTTGTGTTCAAATACTGAAATACCAGTCTGATTTCACTTACGTTCAGACTATTTTAACCTTAAAATATATAACAAATCTTCAGCTTTCATTAGTGTTCTCATTTCTGCCTCAACGTTAAATCAAGAAACTCTCAGTATTACCAAAAAGAATAATATGCTGTGTAACAGATGACAATATATTAAAGATAACAACAGCTATTTATAATGGCATGCCCTGTGAATTAGCTTTATTTGAATTACATACATATTAGATAAACTCATCATTTTAAACTGTGGTTTCTTGCTAAGAATTTAGCAATATCTTTGTAATTAGTGTCATTTTACAAAGTGAGCAATGCATGCTAGGATGACAGGCAGGGTCTGTGCTCCTTGTTATTCCACACACACAGCCAGACACCGCTAGAAGCCATCACTAAGCTTTCAATGACAGATGTCATGTGTACCTGTCATTTCTACTATTACCGGTCAAATTCCTTCTGGGAAAAGAGACCTGCAAGTGTTTATCTTACCATTGAAATGCCACAAAAAGATGGCTATGGGGCAGAATTATGAAGTTCCATTTACCTGTACTATAAAGCTAGGCATAAACAAAAGTAAGTAGAATGTCAAAAAAAAAAAAAAAAAAAAAGAACTCTAGATTAATATAAATATTTCTGCATAAAGTAGTTTTACATTTAAAGGTTTGAATTAGAACCCCTCCACACATAATATTCCCCCCCCCCCCACCGAAGCTAACTGATGTACATACAAAAAGTAAATACTTACCTAAATTCATAGCCACAGGACATGCTGGGTCTTGAATCCTTTCAATCAATGGGGTCCTTACAGGTCCCAAAGACTATAGCCGTGGCATTGTAACATCACACCAAGGGGCAGCATAAAGACCAGTTGCTGACAGACCTGGACTGGAGCATTTATGTAAATATGTAATATACCCATGCAAAACGTGGAACCTGCTGCCCAATAAAAACATATTACATAGTTAGTTTGGCTGAAAAAAGACAAATGTCCATCCAGTTCAACCATAAAATAAAAAAAAAAAAGTTATACTCCTATACCCACAGTTGAACCAGACGAAGGAAAAAAAAAACAGCAAAGCACGATCCATTTTGCTCCTGCTGGGAAAAAAATTCCTTTCTGATCCCCTGAGAGGCAATCGGATATTCCCTGGATCAACTTTACCTATAAATGTTAGTATTCAGTTATATTCTGTGTATCTAAGAAACAATCCAGGCCTTTCTTGAAGCAATCCACTGAGCTGACCAGAACCAACTCTTGAGGGAGTCTATTCCACATTTTCACAGCTCTCACTGTGAAGAAACCTTTCCGTGTTTGGATATTAAATTTATTTTCTTCCAGACGTAAAGAGTGCCCCCTTGTCCTCTGTGATTATCTCAGGGTGAATAGCTGTACACCGAGTTCACTATATGAACCACTGGTGTATTTATACATGTTGATCATATCCCCCCTTAATCTCCTCTTCTCAAGAGAGAATAAATTCAGTTCTAAGCTGCTCTCCTCCATGTCTCTTATCAGTTTAGTTGCCCTTCTCTGTACTTTTTCCAGTTCCCCAATGTTCTTTTTCTGAATTGGTGGCCAAAACTGAACTGCATATTCCAGATGAGGTATTACTAATGATTTGTACAGGGGTAATATGATATCTCTCTCTCTGGAGTCTATACCTCTTTTAATAAAAGAGAGAATGTTGCTTGCTTTAGAAATTGCATCCTGGCATTGCATGCCATTATTAAGCTTGTGATCTATCAGAACTCCCAGATCCTTCTCCACCACTGATTCCCCCAGTTGTACTCCCCCTAGTATGTATGATGGATGCATATACTTAGCCCCCAAGTGCATAACCTTACATTTATCAACATTAAACCTCATTTGCCACAACATTCTCTCTTGTATTAAAAGAGGTATAGACTCCAGAGAGAGAGATATCATATTACAACTGTACAAATCATTAGTAATACCTTATCTGGAATATGCAGTTCAGTCTCTCCCCCTCTCTGTTGGAGTCCCCTAAGGCTCTGTCCTCGAACCCCTCCTCTTCTCCATCTACACCTCCT